GAGCTGGAGGAAGCCTAGCCACTCATGGTGTGCAGCAACATCTCTATTGAAATTCACTCAGTGTTGCCCATGAATGAAAATGACAGTGGAAGGTGAGGGATTAAGGTTCTGGTGGGAGAGATGAGAGAAGATGAAGAGAAAACGTGGATGGTGGCTAGATGTCTGTGTGTGACCTCATTCATCCCAAAAATAGGGTTTCTAACCCGAATGTGACGTGTCTGGGTCGGTTCATGGAAGTGGGCAAGTTAATTTTTTCCCAAAATGGTCGGGTCTGGATGTGCTGATACGAGGAGTTCACCGCGGCGAACCATGGCAGAGGCTCCTCTTTTGCTCTGTGTGCCTTAAGTCTTCAACCTTGGTTCCAATCTCAGGTATCCTATACTGAAAAGCAACAATTTAAGGCATCAATTGTCCTAGAAATTAATTGAATACAATTAATAATTAATTATGACAATATTACCATCAAAAAGACACTAACTCATTGCATGGACTCTTAATCTAAAATAAGCTCAATTATAGCTAGAAGAGCTAGAAAATGCAACAAAACCATGGATGATGTAATCAAAAGATAAGAATAATTTGAGCTCAATCTATATGTCTTTGTTCAAGCTTGTTATCTAGTTAATTTATCAATCACTTGATCGATCAGTGATTTATCGATCAAATGATCGATCATCGCTATCTAGCTCTACTTTTTAAGTTTTTTTTATCACCTGATTGATAATCTAATTATCGATGAAATGATCGATTACCCATCTATCTGAATGTCTTGTTTTCACATAATGTGATCGATCAAACATTTTCCTGGCATTTTAGAACTAAGTCTCTTTGTTATATTTTATCAATCACTTACTTGATCAAACATTAATCGATCACTTAATCGATCATCATTGGTTTTGTGCCCTTTTGAAAAACTCTTTGTTAAATCTCTTTTATCGATCAAGTCTTCTATCATTCATTTATCGATAAAGTACTCGATCATTGTTCGTTGAAAATCTATTTCTATCTCACTTTGCTTTATCGATAGCTTGATCAATCTAGCAGTTTTCAATCACTTGATCGATCATTGACTCTTTCTAGTTAAACATGAACAAGTTACCATGATTCTTAAAATATGTTGATTATTTCCCTTCGAGCTTTTCTCAGCCTTCTTGTTTATCTTAATTCTCTATTTTAAGGGATTCAAAATCAAAAGTGACCTTGAGGCTTTTCTCTACATGTTTTTCTGAAGTCACTATTTTTATTTATCGATTACTTGATCGATAAATTATCAATCCATAACTTGATTGATAAATAAACTTGTCTGTTTCAAATTCTTTCTACTTGAATAATCAATAATTTGATCGATCATCCAGTCATCGATTATTACTTCGATCAAGGATGTCCAGTTCTTGTTCAATACATTTAGCAACTGATTGATTCCACTTTCAAACTATGAATGTTCATTTTTATCATTTGATCAGTTGTGCTCCTAAACTTTACTCTGCAAGAAAAACTTATTAGATTGAAGTATTATTACAAATTACGAAGAAGAACTCAATGGTTATCCAACGGTCATTTAGTAGCCTACAACCTACTATGTCAGAAGCATTAATGGCGAAAACCATTGCAACTAAGAAAACATACAACCGAACTCTCAACAGCTAGTAGCTCTTTCTTCTAACAGTTATTAAGCTTCCTCAACTATAAAAGGCACGACGAAGCATTGAATGCAGAGATTGAATACGTGAGCTACCTTCTGCAAATAACTTACTATTGCATTCAATACTCTATTCTTGTTTGTACTGAGCTTTAGTGTTTCTCATCTATTTACTCTGTAAGAGAGCTCTACATATCATGTTTAATTACTTTCTGAGTGAAACTCAAGAGTGTAGACTCTTGAGTGGGTCTGTAACCTTATGGGTAGTAAGGGGGAGTGATTGAGCGAATCAATTGCTGTACTGCGGCACCAAGAGCCCAATTAATCTCAGAACTTAGTGAAATACTCAGATGTATTCTGAGAACTGGAGGTAGGTCAAGTGGTTGAGACCAAACCAATATAAATTTTGTGTCTACTCTCTACAGTGAAATCACTCCAACTTACGCTCTGTTTCTGTTCAGCTTACTATTTTTTTTAATTCGCAAGATTTTTATAACTCACCCAATTCACCCCCCTCTTGGGTGAGACTACCACTAACAGTTGCATGGGAAGTAATTCATTCCATGAAGCTGCAAAAAAAGGGGCTAAAGGATAGATGGCAATCAAAATGAATTTGAAAAAAAGCTTATGATAGATTGGAATGGCCTTTCGTTAGAGATACTCTTAAAGCAGTAAGAGTTGATGGGAAGTTGTTTAAGTTAATCATGCAGTGTATTTCAAGTTCCTCTTTCAAAATTCTTTGAAATGGGAAATCCACTGAAAAGTTCTATTCCTCCAAGGTGTAAGCCACAATGATCCAATATCTCCTCACACATTTACTTTATGTATGGAGAGATTAAACCATTATATTCAGGATGCTGTTAAGGAGGGTTTGTGGCGACCTATCAAGTTGAATCTAGAAGGTCTAAATTTGTCTCACCTTTTTTTTTGTTAATGATCTTATTGTCTTTGGCGAAGCTTCTGAGAGCCAAGTTGATGGATGTTGTATTGTGTTGAAAAATTCTGTGAAGCTTTAGGACAAAAAATGAACAAGAGTAAAACCAAAGTTTGCTTTTCAAGGAATTTACATAGGTCTAGAGCTTTGAGTTTGAGCCAATGAATAGGGGTAGGTTTCACTACAGATTTGGGAAAGTATCTAAGGGTTCCTTTACTCCATGAAAGTGCCTTTTATCATGCTTTTGCATCGTTAGTGGACAAGACAAGGAGAAAACTATCGCGTTGGAAAAGAAACAGCCTTAGTTTTGCAAGTTGTACCATTTTGGTGAAAGCTGTTCTATCAGCTTTACCTTCCTACCATATGCAAACCATGCTACTTTTGAAGAGCCTTATTGAGAGAATAGAACAAGAAAGTAGGAACTTCTTATAAGGAGAAAACAAAAAAGAAAGAAAATTACATCTATTGTCTTAGGGAGAGGTTACCACAGACAGAAATAAAGGGGCCCTAGGTATAAAAAAAACTTAAGGAAACAAAATGTAACCTTTTTATGAAGATCTATTGGAACTTAATTCATGACAAGGAATCCCTAAAGCAGAAGTACTTTGAGCTAAATATAGATGTGGACAAGGAGCATTGCCTAATATGAAGAAGAAATGAAACTTATCCTTTATTTGGAGAAGGGTTTGTGATGTTTGGAAGAGATTCTATGAAGGCATTGAAGTTAAAATTGGGACTGGACAATCTTCTTTTTGGTTTGCTCATTGGTCAGAGTTGGATACCCCCACTTCTAGATCTTATCTTAGGTAAAGGGGTAGATGGTTTGGTTGTAATATTATTGATCCAGTGACTTGTGCACACCCACCCCTGAGGATAGAAGAGAAGACAAAATCTACTGGAAAGTTTTACAATTAAGTCTGCTTATAACTTTCTTCTTCTGGGTAACCACTCACACAAGGATAGCATGTGGAAACAGCTTCAGAGATGGCAAGTACTGGAAAGGATCAAATCTTTCATGTGACTGGTTGCACATGGGAGAGCATATATTGTGAAACTCAGGAGGAGTAGAGGACTTCAAGCAAAAGACAACTTCCTGTTTGCATGTGACCAAGAAGAGGATCCTATGCACTTATTGAGGGACTACATAAGTGCATAGGAACGATGGAAAGCAGTAATTCATCCTGCTAGTTGGTCATCTTTCTCTTCTTTACAAGATGTAGAATGGATCAGATAGAATTTGTCTCATGTAGTCATATTAAGAAGGTCCACTGGCAAGTTTTATTTGGCTACGTGTTGGGATCTATGGGTAACCACGCGTAATAAATTTTTTGGTACTAACAATCTCAATGACTGCCAAGATGCACATAATAGCTTCTTCAAGGTTTGTCTTGACCAGGATATGCTACGAAACAGTAAGTTCTAAAACCACAATCCTTGCCAGGAAGGACGAGTAGTTCCCACAACAGTTGAGTTCATTAGATTGGCAATAGATGGTTTAGTGCTTTAGGATGGACGAAGTGGACACGTAGGAGTGATAAAGGCAACGTCAAATAAGTGGATCAATGGATTTTGCTGTAAGCTTACTAATATGCCGCCTACAACTGTGGAATTGATTGGCATAATCCAAGTCTTACCTTGTGTTGGAATAGAGGATTTAGGAAAATTTTTATTGTCGCTGATTGTATAGAAGCCATATCCTTGCTAACTATAACCACCCTTTTAGAGGTATTATTAATAATGCTAGGAACCTAATTCACAGGGACTAGGTAGCACAGACTTGCCATGTTTACAAGTAGGGCAATCGTACTCTCACAGGATTGATAGTAATTTTTTTATCCTTCATCAACCTTCACAGGAAAGTGATGAAAGAGGCCATATGTAATCTTTGACCAGTGTTTAATTCAAAAACAAAATGATGAGAACCCAGAGTGAATTCAAAACGGACAAAACTTATTTTTCTCATTTTTTTCCGCTTTCAACTTTTCTAATATCATTCAACCTTAAAATACAAGTCTTCATAATTTTCTGGATTCTCAAATTGCCATTCACTTAACAAACAAATTAATATCCATCCGAAAGTTTTCCTCTATGCTAATTTTAATATTTATATAACTTCAATTCATGCATTACTTGTTTTAAGTTTGGAATTTGTTACTATCGCATTTTGGTTTTTGTTTCTCCATGCTTCGCCCTACTTTTTAAATATTTGTGACAAGGAAAAAGATGAAATACAAAAATTGTAAATGCAAAATATCTCTGGTACTCCTACATAAAAATAATATAGAAAATAATTACTATTCGATAATAGTGATTAAAATATAACACAAATGTCACGCTCTTGGTCTTGGATGCATAACCTTTATTTTAATTGGGAAAAAACAAAGGGATTTTGAAAACCGTCCCCAGCTATAACGAGTAGTCTCGGGCTCGGGCTATTAAGTTTGAATGATATTAGATAATGCAGGGTTGCTGGTCAATATAAATGGAACAAATACTACCTATCTAGGCATACAACAATGTAAAGCCCGCGGCACAACCTGAAACAGGGTTGATCTCTCCAAATAGGACCTAAAATCTCCAGATAGCTTGGCTGTTTCATTCCTGTTAGTTAACCACTATGTTCCTATAAATTGGACACCAGGAAGCATTCTGTCAACTCCAGTGCCACTGTTAAAACAACACACTAGTGGCCTAATACATCAATTTAATGCCCTCACGAGGGTACTTCAATACCGCTGAAAAGCAATAACCAGACTGAACGGATAAAAACTGACGTAATGATATCAGAACCTGCATGGAAATTTTCACCATTCTGATTGCCAAAATTCTCATTTTGTAAACCTAGCCTTGTATAAACTGAGAGCAACATATTCCACTGTCACCATTCTGCCATCAAAGAAACGTCCATGGAGACAATATGCTGCCTTGCAACATGCTTCAGTTCTTCGAAACTCCACAAAAACACAGCCTGGTTCAAAGATATGATCAGCAACTTCATCTTTATTATTTTTCACCTCATCTGCAACACCCAAATCTGTTCCTAAACAGGCATTAGGATCACTTATGTTTTCATTACTTCTCACCTCTTTGGCACCGTCTAATTCCGGTCCTAAACTGGCATTAGGATCACTTAAGTCTTCATTACTTCTCACCTCTTTGGCACCGTCTAATTCTGGGCCTAAACTGGCATTAGGATCACTCAAGTCTACAATGGTGCTGTTAGCCACCGACTTGTTTTCAACATTTATGCTGATATCATCAGCAGCCATGTTATCAAGCAATTCTGACTCTCCTTTGTATATATTGTGATGATCATAGCATTCTTGGCTCATAACATTGGGTATGCTCTTATTTTCCACGCCTTCTACTGATGCATCACTCCCAAAGTTTTCTACCTGACATGATTTACTCTCAGAAAATTGATCAGTGAGCTCATCAACATCAGCGCCACCACCAGAATTATCTTCTCGGATCTCCTTATTGCCATGATCACACTCCACTCCATTTGTTGTGGAATCGGCTCCCAGGTAAGCAGCCATCTCAGATCCGTGATTCTTGTTATCACACTCACAATCTTGAGAAGCACCATTAGATCTCATATCATTGATAGCTTCACGTTTTTCTGACTCAGCTGCTTGATTCTGGTCACTGCTATGCTTGACGACATCAATCGATCTCACAGTCCCAAATCTGAAACAGCAGAAGTATAAGAAACAATACAATAATAATTTTTTGGATAAATCATTCTCCCTTCACCTCATAGATGTTCAAATTTCATAACCCTCTGAAAAATTACACATCGCACTTTGGAAACCAAAAGATGGGCTATATTTGAGTTACTCAGCGAAGTATAATGATTACACCTATTTTGAGCACGATATCTTATATTTATTACTTACATAATATAGAAAATATTAAATATGTAAATAATCAATTTTTAAATTCATCAAATCATAAAATCATTTGTTCAAGCAAATAAGTAGTTTAAAAATAAAACATTCACAAAACACTTGTGACCTTATGGACTATGACTCAACACCTTACTAACTATACCAACAACTGCACCACCTTCTATTGGCATTTCATGTTCTATGTTTAAAAAAAGAAAATCAATATTGTTTTCAAGATTCTTTTGGCCATCTTTTGGTTCCACGGGAAGGTTGTGAATGTTTTCAAAACAGATTGGGCTGCATAATTTGAACACCATTGAGGGGAGAGAAGAGTAGTTTATCCTAACATTTTAATACGATGAATCAATTCAAAGGAAAATTATTTCGAACCTTGCACATTCCAATCGTACATCCTCCAAAATTTCTTCAATTTCCACACTAGACATAGAAGAGAGAGCTTCCGTGGCGAACTATTTATATACAAGCAGAAATAACCATCAAAATGACCAGTTTAAATCTACTGCTAATAAAAACACATATTTCACAAAGAAAGGATAGGGCCCAAACAATCATTTACACCCCATTAAGTGTAAAATACCAGGATTTAAATGAGATGAAACACAGGTTCAAATTATCCCATATTGAAACTAAACACTTCCGTGTAGTGAAATTTCAAATGTAAACTGTTACAATGAAAGAATCACCTCCCCACCACTAGACGCAACTGTCACTTGGGTCAATAAAAAATTCTTGTTCTATCAATTTGGTCCCTTGCCTTTTGTTTAGGGAGGGACCAAATTCAAGAGGTATAAACTAATTGATTAAGAAACGTTAAGGAAACAAAATGGAAGGAACTGAACCAAATAATCAAATAACTCAAAAAATAGGAAGAAAATATTGTATACCACATCTTTGATCTTCAAAACCTCACTTGGCTTGCAGAGTAGTGGCTTTGCATGATTTGGAATCCGATAGGATTGCGGTTGTCCATCATTTTCCTGGCATAAATGTTGGGGTCAGACACTCATCTCCAGGTTTAGGAAACAACTATTGCAAAAGTTCAATGTAAACGAAGAAAACAAGAATTGGCAATTAGGCAAGAAGAGCGAGTGGTGAAATTACCAAGGGAGAGGCATTAGGCATAGCCTGAACAACTGTTAGCACCTTGCCAGCCAACTTTAAACCATTTAGACCCGCACAAGCTTTCAGAGTAACAGAGTGGTCTACATACTGATGACCAGAAGAAAAAAAGGGATGAGGTAAAGGAAAATAACACGAGAAGAACAAAACCAAATTTAGCCTTCATAACCATAGATTACAAAGGAAGAGTAAGGATGCCGATTGCACTGGCAATGCAACTCATGCGCTAGGCAATTGATCTCCTAAGGATACAACTTATATTAAAACTCACTCAAGCCTTCATAACCTTTGGGAATCGAGTGCTTTAATCAGGGATTAACTAGTAAAAGTACCAAAATTGCAAGATCCACGAGCCTCCGCACAGATTCAACCACATGAGACAACCTGTGTCACTTCAGGCCATTCATGGTGGTGATCACCCCTGGCCTCAGACAGAATTGCAGTACTTCCCATCATACAATATATGATTAGGGGCAAAAAAAAATTCCTTACCTCAAGAAAAGCACAATGTTCATCAGTGTCTTCAGCCCCAAAGCGATAAGCCTTCAAAGACCCAAATGCACCCGCAATTTCCATAAGCTGGAGAAGTTTGAAAAATAAGTTATCATCATTGAGAAAGGTGGGAGAAGTATATTTGGTTACTACGAGTATAACCAATTGTACAAAAAGAAACCAAACGATCAGTGAAGAATAAAGTTTGCTCAAAATAGAACTCCTAAAACCATACCATCTCGGATGAAAGAAGCTTTGAAATTCCACCAATGAAGATCTACATCAACATTAGAAGATTAAATAATTAGATAAACATATTACAACAGTAATTTACAAAGATGGTTAATTTAGACCAAGTAACAAAGCAGAAAAATTTTAAATGAGAAATAAGTTAATGATAGAAGCTAGAAGCACAAATTTAATTGCTCTTGGCAGTGGCAGAAAGAGCCCATTAAGGTTTTGACGTGTGTTTCTCATAACTAGACTCATTTAGTTAATTTTTCCTAGCTATTTCTTTCTGTTCCAGTCAAAAGCACACTGCCCAGATTTTCTCTGCAATATAACATGCTACCAAGAACAAAGTTGTCAATGAAAGAATGACAGGGCAACTCTTCCCCAGCAAAATTCCCTAGGTATGGCAGCCTCAATATCGTTGCCACAGTAACCATGGCAGCCATCAACTATGGCAGACACCATATTGAAAATATTACAGACATCTGCCCCCACGTTTTACTTAGGCCCAGCCAATGAGCTTCTTAATTTTAGGAAAGAGTGCATCACCAGTGTCTCCAATAAAGTAAAGCAATGGAAGTAAAGAAGAAGACACTGATTTGCACTCTTGCTTCTTGGAGCCTGAGAGTTGCAATGAAGTATCCTCCGGCTTTGTATCACAATAACCTTAGCAGAAAACCCCCTTCAATATATAGAAAGCTCCTTTAATCTCTGATCTGTTTATCTTCTTCTTTTTTCTTTTTTTTTTTAATTTAATTTTAAGCGAATCCACTCCCTCTGTCATTCATCCCTAAATGACACTGATGATACCACTTCAAAAGCTACAACGTTCAGATAAAGAAAGAGACTAATTCAACCGAGGATAAAATAACTACTATAAACTTGAGGTTTATAGCAGAGATAAACTTATCATCTATAAGGTGCTTCACATGCATACTAAATAAATTAATGAAAGAGAAAGATTGCTATAGAAAGCATTATATACAATATACGGTACTGTAATCACAATAAGTTAAAGATCATACAGCACGTAATCCATATATTGTGGGACTAAAAATACCTGGCATTTAAAGTTAATTCCAACAGATCCAAGAATATAAACGTGGCCAAATACTTGCACTTAATTCTATCACGTACCTTATCCGGTGAATCAATTACAATATCACTAATTGTATTTGTAACATCAGCATCCACAGATCTCTCTAGGTCATCAGTCTGCATGAAAATATTAACTGTCTGAAAACCTGCTACATGGATGATAACCAGAATACAACTCAGAATTGACAAGCTTGCAAAACGCATTAGTTGTACCAACAATAACCTTGACTTTTAGAATGAAAATTCTAAAGCAGATCATGAAACGTAAAGATCAAAGTAACTTGGAAACAAACTCAGCAATCAAGCAATAAAGAATTCAGCAAAACAATAGCAAGAAGTTATTACTAAACAAAAAAATTAGGAACCATTCAAAATTCTGCAAATAGCTTCTCAAACAAGTAATTTGACAGATAAATTGAAATAAATAAATAGCTTAGCCTAAATTCAGAACATGTCTAATAACAGCAATTGCCCGTTCAAATAATATACATAACTCAAAGACTGCTGTTAAAATAGACAAATCAATATCCTATGCAAATAAATATAGCTATTATCAGGGGAAACTAAACAGTATTGTGATTCCAATCTGCCAAAAGCAGTTATAATCCTAACAACTAACACGGCATCTAATTCCAAGAAATATGTTCAAAAGTCAAAACACTTGAAAGTTCTATATATAAATTTAGTTGATTTAGCTAAAGATAATTATAAAGCATGATAAATTTCAAGAAATACTATTCAGCTTCTCCAATCATTTCAACCAAAGGAAATACATTTTACAACATAATCACAAGGCATCTGATTGCATGGAAAAATATTGGTTGTCTCTCCACACACACGATGGGGAAAAACATCTAAGACTCAGCCACAAAGCTAACGAATTTTCTCTCCATACAGAAAGCTAACAAACACATAAACTTCTTCATGACCAACAGGAAGCAGCAAACAGCAAAATACAGAAGACTAAGTATTCCACCAGTTGTCATTGTAACCTCTTGTAGTAGTTTCAAGTAAACAGTTATTTATTCTTGCACTGTGATGTAGCATGGAATATATGGAATAATTTGTCATCTTCAGAAAGTAGTAGTTTTGGCCGCCAAATTTGGATCATTTTTGAACTAATTCAAGTGTTTTGGGTTTGTGGTTGACCATGTAAGTAAATAAATAAATGATATTTGTTGTAATTAGGCAGATTTGCAGAGAGTAAATATTGGGTAGATATTTGGCATATCTTTTCTAATCTTCATCAGTTTGTGCGATTCCCTCTCCCTCATCCTTCTATGTATATTTTACATACTCATTCAACCAATAGAATATGAATTTCAGAGCTCATCTACAGGGTGCAATATGGAAAATAAAGTCCAAAGGAAGAGTCTGCGTGGTGCAATATACTAGAATGAGGATGCAAGAGGACTTAATCAGAAGCTCCTTCTGTCAGATCTTTAACATTCTTGGGATAGTCTTTAATTTTCGCTTCCATTTGGGTTTTAGCAAATGGTTCTTCTTGAGGTTTCAAGAGATTATGAATTTAAAACGGGGGTTATAAAAACTTCTTAACTACTATTGGTTTACTTTTATCTGTTGTTTTCCACATTCTTAATGAAGATTACTTGTCCTCCTTAATGTATTTCTTTCAATTATTAAATTGTTTTTAGAAGAAGAAGAAGATGATGATGATATCATTCTATTCAGCACATACTTTATAAGCTTAAGCCATGCAACTTGAAGAACAGAACCATTCAGGTAGATGTGTGAACATGACTCCAAAATCAACATGGCTTCTTTTCCAACAAGGTTATTTGTGCCATGCTGAGAGATATTTAATGGATGCACCGCGCCCCATTAATATTAGGAGATAAGTTGTCAGCATGCACTAAAATTAGACAAGGGAAGAAGGACCACAGGGGAAAACAGAAAGCAGACGCACTGAGAGAGAGATAACAAAGAGTGAAGTTATATCTCATCACTTACATGCTTAACTTGATATAACAAACAAATCATCAGATCATAAATAGCACCATCAGAGCAGCATGCAACAAATAACCCTGAAACATTTGCCAGATAAAAGGCTGCTAAAGCATCAGACATGTCATTACACCAGGAAGTCTTCCCTAATAAGGAGCCAGCTTCATCATCATCCCAATTGTGTATAACGATATACCCATATAAAAATCCTATTTAAAGATTTCAATACAGGAGTTAGAAAATATCTCACATAATGGAAAAAGATCTTTCCAGGTGAAATATAAAGCTCATGAAGTTACAGAATCAGTTTCTTTTCAAATAAAGTCCAAGAAACCCATGATCTTAGAAAATGTCATGAATACAGTTCTGAGTTTTAAAGAGTTAAAGACAACTTTACAAGCATAATAATATTCATTGATATGACAATTGCCAAACTTAGGCTTAATTGTCACACTAAATCTATCCAAGGCTCCAGTTGACGGGGCCTATATCTGTCACTGTCAATAAGGTATTCTTAAAAACATCTAGTGCATGAAAAAATACGTTGAGGGATAAAATATTTCTTAGGCACAATGTTATCCAACTAACGCAGCAGTTCCCTAAGGGACTTGATTTTTGAAGTTTATAGACAGAATATGGCAAGAAGGCCATTATCACGTTGCATATTATCTCATTTGTAGAAGAATACTGCATAATCCTAAAAGCTAAGAACTATGGTTAAAAATCAATGGGAAAGACATGATGTTTCAGTAGAAGTATTTCATCCAATCAATCAGTCACTAGCATTTTCAGAGCATTAAATGATAAATTTGGAGAGAAAAAGTGATTCTGATTATTTCGTAAGAAAGGTTGTACTGATTCTATATACAAGATAGTAGAAAACTATCCTAGAAAAGATTAAAGTATGAAAGAAACAAATACCACAACGAAAAGGACTGAAATTCCAAGATTCTATGCAAGGATCAACTAAATAAATAGAAAAAATTTCTAATCTTTTCAACAAATGCAAATATTCTGTAATAATAACAAACTCCATAACATTAAATGACCAACCAAACTCGCTTATGGTATTTCAGCAATTAAGTAAACGAACAGAAGCATGTAACAGACATTCCACGAGGAAGATAGTTGTAGGCAAAACATAATCACTTCCAAAAGCATGAGACAGATTTTACTAATGTGATAGTGTATCAGCATGAGACAAGCATGCATAACGGGGAAGAAAACACAATTTTGGAAAAAAGATTAGGCAGGTCAAAGGGAAAAGGACACCAAAAAAACCCTCAAAAATGCTAAAAGACAAATTAGGCTGGGTGAATTCCAAAATCCCAAATTGAACCTCTAGTATTATTTTGAAATTTTTAAGTTCTGTGAAATAACAACATTGCCCTTGTATTCCCAATGACTATTTTTATTTAGCTATTGACTACACTAGTTTCGCTAGTGACTACTTACACTAAGTTCCAATAATTACTCTTGTATGGCTATTAACTGCACAAGAGTAGTAAATAACTAAACAAAAGTAGTTACTAGATCTCCAACAACACTTGATACATTTTTTTAATTTCTTGAAACAAAAGTAAACAATAGAGAAACTAGAGTAGTCAATAACTAACAAGAGTAGTCTCTAAAATTCTAAAAACAAAAATAGTCAACCACAACACTAGAATAGTCATCGGAGTTTTAGAAACAAATATAATTAATAGCTAAATAAGAATAGTCAATAGTTGCATAAGAGTAGTCATCAGAGCACCGATCAGTTGCTGGAACTCTATTGACATGGCGTCGAAGCTTCAGTGACCAAAAATCGACTAGGTGTTAAGGTGACATTCTTAGGGAAAAGAAAGGAAAAAAATAGTGAAGGGCATTTGAGTCATTCTGCAAGATTTAAAAATGGGAGGATTATAATGAAGTCGCAAAGAAATAAAATAATTACCAGGAAGTCCCAATGACAAGTGAGCAATTTTCATTCCCTACTCTACAATTTGTCAATATAAGCTGCTCTATTGCGAATGGATTTTTTAGTAATTATGTTCCTTCCATGGAACTTCACTGCAATTCTACCTTTAAAAATTCCAAAAATAATACATGGGGTCTGAATTGAGATTTTAAAATTCACCCCATTGATTTGTCATTTAGCAATGTCTAGGTATTTGATTGTCTTCTTCCCCAAGTCAAATTGCCAAAGTTGCATGAAAAATTAACTAAACATTTACATGCCTTGGATAGCATCCAAAATCCAAAACAGAAAAATATATTCAACTTAAAGAAAGTAGTAATAGTAGAAAATGACAACTTTTCCATTTATACATGTAATTAGTAATTACTAATTTCCACCATAGAGAGATTGTCCCCTTTAGAAACATTTATTTGTTAAGAAAATATGATATTAACCACCTAACTCACATGATAAACTTATAAACCCAAGCATACAAGACAAGATCCAATTCTTGCGGAACGTCTAGTACAAATGAAAACAATGATTTGTACATACCAATAGAGTCCTAAAACCTCAAAATCACTCTCTCTCTCTCTCTCTCTGTGTCACACACGCACACAGAGCTAGATCCTAGTTGGGTAGTTAAGAATCCAACTCCTCAACATACTGCCCCTAATTTGAAGCAACTAACCCCAGAATTTTAATATCCTATTTCACCTTTATTTAAAAGTTCAGAGGTAGAAGCTGCAGGTAATGCTTCCCAAGTGGCAACCTCAAGTTGGCATGTTTACACTGGATGAGAACTCATGCATGAGGCAGGTCTCCTTTTCTCACCACCTACCTCACCAAAATTTTATAAGGCTCCATAGAGAAACAGCCTTGCTTGTCCAACTGGGGAAGCTTCAAGCTTGTTGCTTTGTGCACTCCCACGTTTCATGAGCATGGTTCAAGTTTTCCCAAATCTAATCAAATCCTCGCGAATCAAAATTTTTACAAATTCAAGTACATCAAATGCCTGACCACTAATTTAAGGAGCCTGTCGATGCTACAATTTACACAGAACATGAACTCATGGACCCTGTTGACATGTATGCTAAAAAGGGCCACAGGAATAACAATGAACGGAGAAGCAAAGTGCCACAGATCTGACACCATTTTGCATCAAGATCCTTCTTAAACCCAAATTGACCAAGATAGAACAGTGAGCAAGGATAGTGCTGCAATAAACACAAAGAAAAGGGTAGAAGATGCTGACAATGAATGTTCAAAATTTTTTCCCCTTAAATATGTAATACAACAGGCCAGTCTGGGTTTTCTCAGTTCTGACTGTCAGACAAAAATCTATTGACCAGAGGATGGAAGAATATTTTTGTTGTATATTTTAATAACATCGAGAGCCTAATTACACAATAAAAGGCTCCCGCAGATTCAATGCCAACAATGACAGCTAATTATTATTATCCATCCCTATAAGTCTGCCTAATGATTCTATGCTAACTACACCTAATTATATGAAAATTCACTTGGGAAAAAAAAAAAAAAACACCCAAGTCTCCAACCCTAATTTGTGAGAAGCTTCAAAGACAAAGCGATTTGCATATCTTAAATATCATCAAATATTGTGCTTTCCACAAGTGGACAACTTTCATATGGCAGATTTTCATGGATAAGTTTAAATAAATGAGAAAATAAGAGAATCCAAAAAGATATTCAAACATAGTATTGAAATAATCAAAAATACCAAGTTCCAAACAGGACACTTAGGGTGTGTTTGGCAAGCACCCCAAACCATGGTTTTGGGACCCAAACCATGGTTTGGGAAAAATGTTAGCCAAACACCCTTAAAAAAATCAAAACCATGGTTTGGGTTCAAAACCATGGTTTTGACTCCAAAACCATGGTTTTGACTCCAAAACCATGGTTTTGAGAAAAGCAGAAATTTTTTACTTTGAAGGAAAAAGGGAGAGTGTGAGAGCCTATAGGATATGTATCTTGTTATTTTTATAAACAAATATATTTAATCTTATATCTTATAAATATATATACATATTAATTATTATTAATTATATTATCTTATATATTATTAATATATGTTAATAAAAAATATATTATTAACAATTTTATTCCTTCAAATTAAAATATATCATAAAAAATATTTTTTCTATAATTATCATATTAATTTATGCCAATTTGTATATATAAAAAGTACTTCTAATAACAACTATCCAAACACTCACACTTCTCAAAATCTATTCTTCCCAAAATCTATTTTTTTCAGAATCTATTCTCTAAAAGCTATTCTCCAAACCATGGTTTGGTTTCATCCAAACACACCCTTAGTCTACAAGGATGAGTTACTTAAGATTTGAGTGATGTTGAAATAGAGGAGTGGAAATCATTCTAAAGTATCCCAAAACAGACCATAAATGTGGGCTTCAACATCACATTTCATAACTTGGACGTAAATGAATAATACTGTATGATAACTACACAATTTATCTCATTAAAAGCTCAAGTTTGGAACTGAATTTTTTGCAAACTGCTGAGTTCACCTCATTTAAAGATCAAGTTTGGCTAAGCTCATTTACTTGAAGTACAGAGCTTGAATAGTATATTAAACTCATTTACTTAATCAAATTGAACTTGAAAATTTAATTTTGTTAACTTCACAAGCAACGCAAATATAATATCAAGTAATAAAATTATATTGTATATATATACATAAGCATGTACTATGTACTGTGTACGTATGATTTTATGAAAACTATCATCATTAAAAGATTATTTTATTATTTCCTTCACACATTAGAAATATAGAAATTCACAATTTCTTTAGGAAAAATTCTAAAAAAATGACGGTTGAATTTCAAAATTCCAAGTCAGGAATTACCACAAAAATGTACTGTCATTTGCTTTTCGAATGTAGTCATTTTCTTTACAAGTATAGTAACCAATACGGATTTAAAATTTTGAAATTTAACAGTCATTTTTTTGGGATTTTCCCTTTTTTTAAGTTCAGTTTATATACATGCAAACACGTTTGTATCATATTTATATTCATAGTACCATATTAAAACTACACAGGCTCAGCTCATTTTACAAATCATGATTTTTGCCCCACTAAGGTTGCTCATTTTTTAATGAACAAACCTGACCATGCTAAAACTTCGGTCAGCTCGACTTAATTATGCCTTTCTGTTAAACAGTTGATGGCACCCAATGGTTTCTATACCTAATTTGAATTGAGATTTTTATTTCATAATTTGTTTTGCTTATTTTTGTGATGGTTGTGATTATGCAGCAACAACAATAAACCTTATCCTACTAGGTGAGGTCATGGATCTTGCCTAGAATAGATCTTCAATATGGATTCAAGGACTGTTGAAAGAGTAATTATTTATCAGAATATATCATCTTGCTCAGATCTGAATATATTGTTTTGAGCTCAAAGATGATAAAATCTTACAAGCATAATATGCAAACCACACTAAAAGATAAAAAAGATCAATTAAAACAAAAATAAGCAAATCAAACTACAATATAGAAAAGATCAATTAAAACAAAGAGAAGAAATTGAATTCATGCCATGCTACCTACTTGTTATGAATATAGAAGAATGCACTTTCACAATAACTAGAACTCGTAAACTTTTCATTGATAAATTCATGAGAATCATGACCATTAAAACAAAATTAAGCAAACCAAACTACTCTAAGAGAGAGAGGGAGAGCCATTTGAAACACTTGCAGAAAAATGAGATAGAAGGTTAGATAATTTTCATCTAAAATATTTTGTTTGAATGCTTAAAATGTTTATGATCATATATTAAAATTTGGTAGACGCAGTACAAATAATATCATACATAAATATTTTATTTTCATGAAGACAAAAGCAAAACATTCATATCAAATGGTTATTATATTAATCCACTTATATGACAATCAAGAGAATAATAGACTTATGTCACAAGTACTCGTAAAGAAAGAGAATCTTCTTTACAAGGAATTATGTTCATCATAACAAGTAAATCATATAATGATACCAGTATGTAAATAACCTTAATTGGCTTGTGGTTTTGTTGGACATACAAAAATATTACACCAAACAAGGATATATAAAGCAAATTAAGAAATTCATAAAACGTTAATGGATTTAAGAGAGAGAAAGAGAGAGATAGCCTTTCTGTACATAAAGATAAAAAATATGTAGTGCAAGAACAGTATCATACTTGAAATTCAACAGATATACAGAGAGACAACCATATTCCAGGAACACCCAAGTTTATTCCAACATCCAAACATCTAATTCAAATTATGCATGTTTTATAGACATGAATTAAAGAGGCAACCATATAAGCAAGGATTAAAAAAAGTATTCAGGGATGGGTAAGAATTTTGTTCTTACAGCAACTTCAACAAAGTCTTTGGGGCGTCTAATTTTGACAGTGGAACCAAAAATTGTACTTCCATCAAAAGAAAGAGCTGCTGAAGCATCCTCAGCTGTAATAAATTCCACAAGTGCTTGGCCCTTATCTTTGTGCAACTGCAGTAAAGACATAAAAGGATAACCTCAAAAGCATTGCTTTGAGCATAAAAATTTAAATGTACACATTACACATTTGCTATCTCTGAACTCACAATGCAGCTAATACATGGCTGGGCTCCTTGGATAAGGTTTACTCCTGCAGAGAGCAACAGGTTATTGAGAGACTCCATCACAGCTTTCTCAGAAGCAGAGGCAGGTAGATTCTCTAGATAAAGCCTTCTCATAGGCCGGGTAGCCTGTGTCAGTTGGACAGAATCAATGTCAGTGTTCTTCCCTGTTGATGAATCATTCAGATGAGACACAGAAGGCTTCACAGTGACTGGATCCACTGAAGTTGCAGCAGACACATTATGTATGGCTGATGATATTGTAACATTTGACACTTTAAAGGCTGAAGATTTCTCAGTCCCCTGAGGGGGAAGATCCCATCCAGCTCTTTTCTTCTCCAAAGAATGCTTCGATGGAGAAGGAGTCCTGACAGCAGCCTCGGTTTTCCTCTTCCTTGGTGAATAGCCACCAAGTCCGGTTATAGACCCACCATGTCGATGATGGTGACTTCTTGAACGATTAGTTGCTCCTCTACCTTTATCGGCATCAGAATGTGATCTTCTAGAACTGTTCTTTAGAGAATGTGCAGGCAAATCTTTATGCTCTCCATCATAAGTGCGTCTTTGTGCCCTAGGTGAAAAATCTAGAGACATTGTTCTTTCATCATGTTCTTGCCTTCCCAACCATGTCCTCTTTGCCCTTGCTTCTTCATAATGTGACTTTACTGATTCTTCCCTCTCCTTCTTTTCCCCATCCTCAGGATCAGGATTTTTCCCCAGAGAGTGCTTCCTTGCAGCACTCCTATCTTGGACCTTATCTTCATCTACAGTTTCATATTTGCTCTTGGATTTTCTTCCATATTTTCCTCTACCCTCTGGATGTCTATCCTTACTGCCTATATCTAAATGATGCTTCTTTTCAACTACATTTTCAGAATGATCACTTGACCACTTTTTCCTTTTCCCACAATCATATGTATCTTCATTACGATTCCTTTCAGTTTTATATTCCCTAGGACTTTCATCATCTACAGTACGATACATCTTCTTTACTTTCCTTTGAGATCTTTCCCTATCTATTTCTAAATATTTATCCCTACTAGTTGAATCCCTTATTCGTTTGTTTTCAGCTTCATGCTCAGAATTATCAATCACCCTTCCATCATTTTTCCTTCTACTATGCATCTCTCTGCTAGTTTTACTATTTTTATTTATCCAGCCCATATTACTTAAATCAGCACATAGTTTGGTTTCTGAATCATAACCTCCTCTGTCTTTCGCACCAGCTAAATTATATTCCTTTCTAGAAGTGCTTTCAGCCTTCTTTCTAGAACTTAACTTCTCTGGTTCCTCCAAGGCATGCTTTTCCACAATGGACGATAAGGTTTTGTCACATTTATAACCCCTCCCTGACTCAAAATAATCAGTAGTATTCTCAGAAGTTCCATGTGATACATTCCAAGCTTCCTTTGCAGAGTCTTTTACTTTTTCAAGTAATTCTTTGTTTTTTCTTCTAAGTAAAATCTCTTCAAGACTGAGTGGCCTGGTCCGAGCTGCACTCTCTACACCCTCTTCATCATATTTATCACCAGAAAGCTTATTACTTTTTCCATGCTTCTTCAAACGTTCAGATCTGCTCATCTTCAGTGATCGAAACAAATTATAAAAAATCACAATCCTGCCAATAGACAAGGGAAAACATTAGTGAACAAGCACATTTCAACATAATGGAAGTTTCAAAAGCAACCCCCAAACAGATTGTGTGCCATGTATGGAGAAAAACTATGGTATCAACAACAAATTTACATGGTCTATGCAATAATATAAGCAAAGTGAGAGGGAAGCGGGAGATTCTATTCAACCATTAACTAGTTCATGACTTCATATGAGTAATACAAGAATGTCATGAAAACATCAACAAAATATCAACATAATAAATACAAAAGTTCCTCACATTCTTCTACAATCTAAAAATCTAAAAGCAAACAAAATTATAGGACCTTCTTTTCAAAAATTAAGCGTACTCCAAAGCTTCCCTTTTTTTTTTCAGTGCCCGCGCATGTTACACATCATCATGCATCATCATCCATGTGATATATCTTCAATCAACAATTTCATTTAACAGAAGGCAGTGAAAGCCCTCACAAGAAAACACTTCATAGTTAAATTTATTTTCTTGTTGACATAGTCATAATTAGGAGAATTATAAATTATAACTATTGAATATTACTGCATAACTAGAGATTACTATTTCTACAATTACGACTATTACTGACTTGTAAGGAAATTTTTCCACGATTTCACACTCTAATACTATCAGCATATAGCAGATAATTTTTTTTATTCAAATTTCCATTATCCTTCTGTATTCAAGAATTTTTCAGTAATAGCCCAATCAATCTACTATTATACAACCCTGAACTGCATTAAGTGAGAGATGCTAAAAAAGCACATGCCCAAATAAATCAAGGTGGTTAATATAATAAAATGCTAAAAATTACGCTATATAAACCAAAATAACTAATTGCAAGTTTGAAGGAACACTTAGACATATAAATTAACTATTCAAACATCACAATTGCAGTCATATGTGATATCAATCATCAATCGGACTGACTAGGTTACTAATACCACCATTCACGGATAATAGTCATTAAAGCTCATGCTAATATTGAGCATAGTTATAAAACGTATAAAAAAACAGAGATCATAAATATCATTTTAAGGTGAGGATGACTATTTTGTCCTTATTTACGGATTACTTATTGGGTTGAGTTTCATAGTTCTCCTGTTACTAACAAAGTTATACAGAGTCAAAATACTTGAGCTAGACCCCTAGAAAACTAGCAAGGAGAAACAATAGCAACAAGAAGGAGGGATAACATCAGTTAAGCTTGCAAGAAAAGAAGCAGATGATATCTAAATTATACTTGGCAAAATGAATGTGAATGATAGAATGGAGAAATTATAATGGGAAATACATCTACTTAAACAACTCCTCCTTCCACCTTCCCAATTCCAAACCCTAAGTAAATGGCGGCAACGTCGTCACTGACTATGGCTGGCGAAGACCGAATTCCTAACGACCACAATTACAAATGTATCGCTAACTCTAAAATCGAATATACACGTACACAGCCAACAAATGCTCTTTAACATCTTAATTACCAGTGCATTCTTCTTTAATCATCTTTAGCGTTAGCTGTCCTCTGAACCAAGGTGTCTTTCAAGACAGGCTTTTAAATCCCAAACTGAAGGCAAATATACTCACTACTAAAATCACTGGAATAAAAAAATAGTGCAACAAATGTATGAAAAGCTTTCCTAAATACTAATGGCTTCCTCAATAGAAATTTAGAGGGGACAAAATCAATATTGCCGCAACCATGACAACCATTAATAATAAAAAATAAATTTAATCACTACACAAGAGTGCAGTGTTAGCAGCGACGAGAACCTGGGGAAAGATGATTGCCCGCGGCGATGGAGACGGTGGCGATAGCAGCGGGGAAATGAAGCGAAGCACGGACTAATGAGAAGGGCAAACCAGAAACGGAGGAGCGGAATGATAAAATCCGAGTGTTGGTGCTGTAAGAAAATATGTTGCGCAGCCCGCCTGGCTATTTGGTCGATGATGTTTTATGTTTCTAATTCTACAATCAGAAATTGCCTACAAATTATCTCGAAATTTTCCTTGGCAATGATTAATTAAAGCTTCACAGAATTTTTCTACTTGTTATAAATATTGCAATTGCAAATTGCAATATCTTTATTATTATTATTATTTAAAAGCAGAGACCAAAGCACCCTTAGTTAGATATGAGAATCAGGACTGGCTCGGCCCTCCAGGACTGGCCCTTCAGGACTGGCAGCCTTAAAAAGGCCGGCCCTTCAGGGCCCAATTTTCAAAAATATCTCAATTTGTTAGGCTTAACCCTTAAGTTAACAGGTTCAGGACCAGCCCCGGGAGCTTTTGGCCCACTTAAAAAAAATATTTTTTATATTTCTTATATTTTTTATTAAAAATGAAAATAAACCAATGAAATTGTTAATAAAAGATATAAATATAAATTAAATTAAATCACAAATACAAAATATCATCATATATAAATATCCATCAACATTTAAGAACATCTAAAACATTCATTAACAAGATAGCAACATCCAAAAGTTTTGTCTATAGTGCAATTGTGCAATAAATAAACATTATCATTAATCTTTTGAAATTTCATCATCACTATAATCAATTATTCTTCTTCATAAGTATGCTTTTCTTTTGTAACAAAAATATTAAGTTTTTCTTCTTTATATTTACTTTTAAATTTTGCAATCTACCTATTATTTTATTTTGATGTAAGAAACATTATTGTTGAAACTCATGAATTTTTAATTTAAATTATAGAATCACAAATTATATAAGTATAAAAATACTTTATTATCAAATATATATATAGTTTAAAAATATCAACATATATAATATAAGCCAAACCATTATTAAAGTCCAATAAATTAACCCATTTTTTAAAAATTTAATTGGATAAATTATTGTCTAAAACTAAATAAATCAAATCATTATGTAAAATTTAATTTTAAAATGATAATAATAACTAAATATTTGAAATATTATTAACAATGTAAAAAATTAATAATACTAGAATTACATAAAAAAATTTAAAAAATTATAAAAAGATCTAAACGGGCCGGCTCTCGACCCTCCAAGGCCTGTTTCCCATTTGAGGGGAAAAATTTCAAGTCAGCCCTCATAATTTCAGGGCTTAAACGGGCCGCCCGACAGGCTTGACCCGTTTTTCCCGGCTCTATCCTCATTAATGTCACATGGCAGATAAATAGAATGAATTTTTAAATGGAAAAAACAAGGGAAAATTGCAAATAAAGACCCTCCAATATATAAAATAGCTATTAGGGACCTTGAATTTGGAAAATAGCTTCAAAGGACCCGGTCCCAAATTGCAAATATGAAATGATGGTAGAATGTCCAAAATGCCCTCTGTTTTTTCTCTTTCTTCCTCTCCAGATCATCTTCTTCTCGACCTTGCCTCCTCATTTTCCACTCTCTCTTCTCTCTTTCCTCTCCAAGTTTCCTTCCCTCTCTTCACTCCTTTCCCAAAGTATATGGAACTTACAATGTCTTTCGGTAGTCCTCTCTTCATTGTCATCACCTGTCACTTTCTTCTTATCTTGCTTAGCTGCTCTTTCGTCGATAATGAAGCCTCTTCCATCATTCTCTCTGTTGCTGTGGAAGGAGAGGAGAGTCGGGAGTTTGAGGGAGAGTGACAGTTATTTGCAATGCTTGTAATGTTTGCTTGCAATGTGTGCGATGATTGCTTGGTGCTGAGACAATGCCCAACAAATCTGGATTTTTATTCTTCATTTCTATTTTGATTTTCAGCTTGTGTTCATAATTGAAAATAACAAGTTTGATAAGTTGTTGAAAATAACAAGTTGACACATTCTGATACCCACTTCATGACAAGTTCAGTAATGCGAATAACAAATTTAGCAAGGCAAATAACAACTTCTGATAAGCAATTCATAGAAATTCGACTTTCTGTGTTAAAATGACAACATTTTCATATTTCTTTAGCAGATGACAAGTTCTGATACACAATTCATGACAAGTTCAGTAAGGCGAATGATAAGTTTAGTAAAGCGAATGACAACTTCTGATAAGCAATTCATAGAAATTTGAGTTTCTGTGTTAAAATGACAGGTTCCCATTAGGTTTTCATACTTTTTCTGTTAAAATGACTGGATTTCCACATTGATTTATCAAATGACAGGTTCACAATAGAAAATGACAAGTTTCCATAAGATTTTTATACATTTTCATACTTTTTTTTGCTGAATTACAGTTTGCACATTTCTGACAGCAACAACTTCTGATAAATACGAAATGACAAGTTCAGAATGAAAAATGGCAAGTATAGCAAATGACAAGTTCCCATAATGTTTTCATACATTTTCATACTTTTTCTGTTGGAATTATAATTTGCACATTTCTGACAGCACCCACTTTTGATAAACACGAAATGACAAGTTCATAATGGAAAATGACAAGTTAAGTATGGCAAATGACAAGTTCCCATAACGTTTTCATACATTTTCATACTTTTTCTGCTGGGATTACAATTTGCACATTGCTGATAGCAACCACTTTTGATAAACAGTAAATGACAAGTCCACAATAGCGAATGACAAGTTCCCATAACATTTTCATACAATTGTAAATTTCTCTGTTAAAACAACAATGTGCAGATTTCTGACAGCAAACACTTCTGATAAACAGTAAATTACAAGTCCATAATAGCGAATGACAAGTTAAGTATGTAAAATGACAAGTTCCCATCACGTTTTCATACAAATGTAAATTTCTCTGCTGGAATAACAATGTGCAATTTTGACAGCAACCACTTCTGATTAACATCTTTCATCATTTCCTCCTAATGTATAAAACTATAGCACCAGAACTCTTATAAGCTCCTCAAGAAGCATGCTCATATCAACACTAGTGGCAAATGCACTATAATGATCATATTCACTCACAAGTGCATCCTCAATCATGAAATCCCAAATGTAAATTGTCATATCATATGAACAAGAAACCATCAAATTCTACATATAAGGTGAGAACTTTATTCGTTTAGCACTGTATTTAGGGCTCGTTTGTTCCTCACATCCCACACCTTGATCGATTTATCCACCGAAATACAATAATCATACTTGATTTCCACAATTTAGAGCTTGTTTGCAATTATCAGAAGTGGGTGCTGTCAGAAATGTGCAAATTGTAATTCTAGCAAAAAAAGTATGAAAATGTATGAAAACGTTATGAGAACTTGTCATTTGCCATACTTAACTTGTTATTTTTCATTGTGAACTTGTCATTTCGTGTTTATCAGAAGTGACTGCTGTCAGAAATGTACGAACTGTAATTCCAACAAAAAAAGTATAAAAATCTTATGAAAACTTGTTATTTTCTATTGTGAACCTGTCATTTGATAAATCAATGTGGAAATCCAGTCATTTTAACAGAAAAAGTATGAAAACCTAATGGGAACCGGTCATTTTAACACAAAAACTCAAATTTCTATGAATTGTTTATCAAAAGTTGTCATTCACCTTACTAAACTTGTCATTCGCCTTACTGAACTTGTCATGAATTGTGTATCAGAACTTGTCATCTGCTAAAGAAATCTGAAAATGCTGTCATTTTAACATAGAAACTCGAATTTCTATGAATTGCTTATCAGAAGTTGTTATTTTCTTGCTAAACTTGTTATTCGCATTACTGAACTTGTCATGAAGTGGGTATCAGAATGTGTCAACTTGTTATTTTCAACAACTTATCAAACTTGTTATTTTCAATTATGAACACAAGCTGAAAATCAAAATAGAAATGAAGAATAAAAATCCAGATTTGTTGGGCGTTGTCTCAGCACCAAGCAATCATCGCACACATTACAAGCAAACATTACAAGCATTGCAAATAAATGTCACTCTCCCTCAAACTCCCCGACTCTCCTCTCCTTCCACAGCAACAGAGAAATGATGGAAGAGGCTTCATTGTCGACGAAAGAGCAGTTAAGCAAGATAAGAAGAAAGTGACGGGGGATGACAATGAAGAGAGGACTACCAAAGACATTGTGAGTTCCATATACTTTGAGAAAGGAGTGAGGAGAGGGAAGGAAACTTGGAGAGGGAAGAGAGAACGAAGAGAGAGAGGAAAATGAGGAGGAAAGGTCAGGAAGAAGATGATCTAGAGAGGAAGAAAGAGAAAAAAAACAGAGGGCATTTTGGACATTCCACCATCATTTCATATTTGCAATTTGGGACCGGGTCCTTTGAAACTATTTTTCAAATTCAGGGTCCCTAATAGCTATTTTATATATTGGAGGGTCTTTATTTGCAATTTCCCAAAAAAACAATTGAAATCTCATACTATCACAAGTTTATTTAAAATTTCCTAACTTCAAGGAATCTTGAACGTGGGTTTTTTTTTTTTGGTAATATATGGTAGTTGTCAAATTGCAAAATTATATATTTTAAGCATGCTCAGTTAATAGCACATGGCAAACTCTCCTCAAAGATAAATAGATTGAATTTTTAAATGAAAAAACAATTGAAATCCCATGTTACAAATTTATTTGAAATCCCATATTACAAATTTATTTAAAACTAGATGCCGTACTTTGTGCATTGCATGAGTTGTTAAGTAAGGACTTTTTTCATTAGAAGAACTCACTATCAGTGTTTGTGTATCAGGTAAAAATGACATTATGGGAAACCTCATTGTAAACAATATTTATTATTTGGTTTGTTGGCTTCTTTCTTTTTTTTATATACTATCTAATATCAGTACTTTAAAACCCTCAATTTTTTTACCTTTAATAATGCTACATACAATTGTCTATGTGAGAACATCGGTATTGGTAGATAAAGCCCTATCCTTTCCATTGATTATCCCTGCCTTTTGTTAACTGTCATTACAAATGGCACCATAACTAAAAATTGTCTTCTAGTCATTGAAAATAGAAGCTTAGATTCTGGCTGGTTAAGGTGTTCTGTGAATTAACACTTCTT